AGTTATCAAATTTTTTAATAATTTTTTATATTTTCTACCTAAAACATTATTAGTATATCAACATAATAAGTAATGTTAAATCAAATTTATTAAATATCTTTTAATATATTCAATAATACCGTATATTAACATTATATTAGTCGTATTTCCTTAGATAATCCCCAAACAAAGGTGAGCAATAATTGTCAACATTAGATGGAGCGAAGGGTTCAGGGATTTGGTGACCCACAAACAGTGGATTGATAGCTCAACCGCACCACACAATTTTTTTCTACAGTACGAGCCATTAGGGTTTGGTTGGTTTCCATTATAAGATTGTGCATCACCTCACTTTGACATTTCTATTAATAATGGACTGACATTCAAGTTGCAATTTAAGCCACTTGGATATCGACTGGACAACCTTAGCAGAAGCCACGTGATGGGTATATTTGAATAGAGAAGAGCAAGTAGAGTCACATAAATTTAAATCATTTGAATTGATGAGTTTTATTTAATATTTTAAATTTAATTTAAAATTTTTAAGTAAAGTTAAATCGTTTGAATTTTTGTTTAAATTTATTTATAATTATTTATTATATTATGATACTATTTAATTGTAATTAAAAGCGATTTTTATAATTGTATACAATATATATATATTTTTTCATATTTAATATACATATATCGTAGGATTCGAATCAAACTTTAAAAATAATTATATTTTATAACTCAATGAATTTAAAAAAAAATTAGAATCAAGTTTTATCACTCCTAAATTTAAACCGATATTGTGATGAAAAATAAATTATTATTTATGGTGTCGGATGAATGATTTTCTTAAGCAACGGAATTGTTTCTTTTTTGAAGGAACGTGATTGTTGTAATATATATTAGAAGTTTTTCTCAAAATATTTATCGGTGATCGGTATATTTATTGATCTAGTATTGATCAGATTATATTTCTCGATCTAACACCCGTAGCAGTAAAGCGCGTCCCTTGACTCGCGCTATATACTGATTTAACGCCACGTGGGGTATAGCACGCCCCATACACTGTGCTATACGCTGACTAGGTTACACGTGGCTATAGATCCCCAGCTCCGCGCTATACCTATTTATCTGACACGTGCGGTATAGCGCGGTGGAGGGGGCGCGCTATAGCTTTAATTACCCGGCAGTTCACACCCTACCCTTCCTTATAAATACCTCATCCTCAATCACTTTCATCAAACCAAATTCTCTCAAATACTCTCTCGTTTAAGGTATATTTTATAATATTTTTAATATTATGTATTTAATTTATTTAAGTATTTTACTTTATTTAATATTTTACTAATATAAATTTTTTACATATATATAATGGAAGGCGGTCTACTTCGCTTAGATGGAAATCATATATCTCGACACTTTGCTGATACGGTAACATTTTAACGTTTTAATTTAATTTAAATTATTAGTAATAATTTGTTGATTTATTTAATACATGATTATTAGATTAAGAATTAATTTTTGTAATTATTTTTATTTTTAGGAGAATGACCGTATATTAGATCTTTTTATTAGGAATCTTAAGTTAGTGATATATAGCCGTGTCTTGCCGTATTTAGTAGAGGCTGGATTTGGTTACATAGGTAGATATCAGGGTCACTGTAAGATAGAACCAGACGTTATTTCTGCCTTAGTAGAGCGGTGGAGGCCGGAGACCCACACATTCAATCTTCCGTGCGGAGAGTGCACGATCACGCTTGAGGATGTTTCTATGCACTTGGGGCTTCCGATGGATGGAGATGTGATATCAGGGATAGCTTCCGGTTCTTGGACTACTTTGTGCCAGGAAAATCTAGGACGTGTCCCATAAAGTTTTATCGGAGGTAGGATACCGTTAAATTGGTTAGATACCAATTTTCGGGAGTTGAGCGCAGACGCCTCTGAGGATGAGGTTAAGATGTATGCACGGGCATGCATATTGCAGTTGATAGGAGGGTTGCTGATGCCGGACAAATAGCGCAACCTAGTTCACTGCATGTAGTTGCGACATCTTAGCGACTTTCGTCTCGCCGGATCATTCAGTTGGGGCTCGGGTAGTTTTGGCTTTGCTGTACAGGGAGATGTGTGGAGCCATTGACTACAGGCGTAATGCTATCGGCGGATGTCTCCTACTGCTGCAGTCTTGGGCATGGTATTGATTGCCCTTTTTATGTCCCATTGTGAAGAACCCATTCGTATTTCCACTACTTCTGATGTAATTATAAAACTGATTTTGTATATTAATTTTATACATCGTATAATAAATTTTTTTTTCCTTGAATAGGTGGTCTACTGATAGGAAAAATCATCAGGAGCTACCTGATGATTTAGAAAAAACTAGGGTGCTAATCGATCAGAAGGCTGGCACACAGGTATGACTTTTAATGTTTAAAAATCGATTTTAGATTATAGTTATATAATTAGATTATTATTTTGATAAAAATTATATATTATTTGTTTTAGTTTGAATGAGTGTCATATTCTACTGATGATGCGAGGGCGGTGATCCCACCTAAGTTGAGGGGTCTATCAGATGTTTGGATGGCGATGGTCCCTCTGATCTGTTATGTGACCGTTGAGTGGCACTCCACTGATCGCGTGTTCCGGCAGTTTGGTTGTTTTCAACCAATTCCGGATGCACCGCGGAATATACACGAATTACATAGCTTAGATAGACGCGGCAAGACAGATACAGATTGGCTGGTTAGGCATCATGAGTGGGTCGTGGACCCACCTCGGTACATATCTTAAGGAGTTGCGGATGAATGTCTCCCCATTATGGCATTAAAATCATTACACATTACTTTAGTCGGGCTGTCAACTTGATCAACTTGTTCAGCCAGCCCATAGTGGGAGCTTAATGATTGACCCCGAACTTGAACAAAATGTGCATACATCTCAATAGCGATGTCTGAATAGTTACTTTGAGCTTCAACCATCATTTCAACATCATCATTGTTCGAACGCTGTATAAGTTAATGACAACAATGATATTGAAAATTTGTACTGAAACGACGACATTCTTCTTCTACTTCCAATATGAATCTTCCTCGAAATCTTCGTGATCAGCTCCTCGAGAGTTATGTTTCTCTTGAATGATATTTTAACACGCTCATTTGATACGAAAAAAACGCCGGTTTCATCTTCTCGAATTTCACCATCATAATAAACAATAGTTGAAAGTCACGTCATTCTTTGAGTTTAAAAGTGCGGCAATATTATATCTGCAAAAAAAATAACTGAAACAAACCTGATTAAATAAATTATATATGAACGAAAATATAACACAACAAATTTTTACACATCAACGTAAATAATTTAAATAATATAATTTTATATTATTACCTGCACCGTAAAACTATTTCGACGTATCCTCTTGCATTTCAATTTTACAAACATAAAAATTAATTGAAAATAATTAGTATAATATTTTTTCAAATAATCATAATAAATAATAAGTATAATTAAAAAAATTTATAACAAAATCACCTTATAACGAAAGATCGCACGAACTTCTAAACTAAATATGAGAAGATTGCCAAAATTATTTGACTCGTTGACGAAATTATTGTATTAATTTATAAGTTGAGAGGAGAGATATGAGGAACATAACGAGGGAGAAGGGTATATATAGCCATACAAGGCGCGGTTCCTGCACCGCGGTATATGTAATTATGGTATAGCGCGGATCAGAGTCCGCGCTAAATATAATTGTACAGATATAGCGAGGAACAGGGGGCGCGCTATAGTCACGTGTAACCCAGCCAGCGTATAGCGCGGTGCAGGGGGCGTGCTATACCTCACGTGACGCCAAATCAACGTATAACGCGGGTCAGGGGGCGTGCTTTACTGCTACGGGTGTTAGATCGAGAAATATAATATGACCGGTGTTAGATCGAAAAATATAATCTGATCGGTGTTAGATCGATAAATATACCGATTACCGATGATATTTCGAGAAAAACGCCTATATATTAGATGTTCGGATGACACTAAATATTTATACTGATTATATATATGTCTAAAAATTCTTTATATAGTTGTTTTTTCCTGCGTTGTTTGAACTATACAGAAGACATACTATAATTTATACATCTTTACAAAGACATGTATTATGTCTTTTTCATATTATTGTTCAAAACAAACTATTTGGGAGAATAATTTCGGAATGGATTCCCTCACATTATCTGATTTTGCCCCCCCCCCCCCTTCACCTCTCTATTTTACACTGTTTAAAAAATGGAAATAAGAAGAAATTTGAGTTTGGAGTTTGGACCAAAGTGGCTCAAAAATCAATCATGTTCAAATGTCATAAAAAGAAATAACTTTTCCCTTCTTTCATGTGACTCCAAATTTACTGCAACTGTAAGGACCTTTGCTTTTCCACTGTTTCTTTGCTTGCACGGCTCTGTCTTTTTCTCAACTTTATTAAATTTTGATATTTCATATATTCTTTGTGATCCTAGTTAATTCAAATTAATTACCTTTGGTATTAAAAGATATTTACGTATTCACGTTTCGCAAAGTGTTGTAGTATTAAGGAAAATTCATTTTGAAACAAAATAATTCGAATGCTTTTTCTTTGAAGATGTTCACGTGCAACAGTTTTAATACACGTTTAAAAAAATGTTATTAATTTTATTATTGTTTAAATAATAAAATCGGTAAAAATAATAGAAAATATTATTGTTTCTATTAATTTTGTTATTATTATGTGTTTTACCGAATTTAGTTAAGAATTATCGATTTTGTTATTTTTTCTATATATTTTGTTATTGTTAAGTACTTTTACTGAAAATGTTAAAAAATTGATGTTTTAGATAAAAATAATAATATTTTAAATAATTTTTTTTATTAATTTTATTATTTAAATAATAATACAACTGATAACATTTTATTTATAACATTATATTAAGGTACCGCAATGTATATTTTTTCTTAGTCAACAGTTATAGAGAGGTTTCAGAGTGAGAGAAACTCTCTTTTTCTTCAGTTTTATGTCTCGTCTCCGGTTCTCTCTCATTTGTGTCATTGTTACTGAGAAAGAAAAGTGAGGAAACATAGGAAAATAAACAAGGGTATGTATTTCTATTTGTCTTTCTTTTCCGTAGCACTTTTTATGCTGTGATTCTACTCTTTCAGCTCAACGTGTTTTGGAGTGAGTTCGTCTTTTGTTTGCATAGAAAAAGAGACACACATACTTTTATGATCTTATTTTCTTTTTGAGGAGATTGTGCTTGGATATACAGAAAGAAAATGCAGCAGCACCTGATGCAGATGCAGCCCATGGTAGCAGCTTATTATCCCAACAATGTCACTACTGATCACATTCAAGAGGTCCTTCCCTTTCTCTTTTTCGTTTATGATCTGTATGTACTTATATCATGCAGTATTTTTTTTCCTTGTAGTCATTACTTCTGGGTTTTTTTCTTCTTCTTTGATTAGTGAAATATCAATGGGAACTGTAGTTTTCTTTCTGTTGCTTGTAAAAGCTACTGTCACACTCACGCATGAGGTTAATCATTCTGGCAAGGAACTCGTCTTCAGTTTGCAGTTACAAGGGTTGTTCATGTTTACGTACTCACACATGGGAGCAGTGCTTAGCGATGTTATCTCTCTTTTAGTAATTAATGAGACGCTTAACACTTGTTAAACTATTTCTGTTTTTTCTTGAAGTACTTTTGATTTGATATCGCATCATTATTGCTGTGCCTATAATTTTCTGCTACCTTAATTAGGTGATGATCTTAGTATAATGCTGGTGATGCTGTTTAAACTACTTGGACATGAATCAAACCGGTCGTCAGCTCGGTTGATTTTGAAAAGAACAATTTACATTTCTTTTTCTTTCCAATTTATTGTTGCATCTCTCTTAATTTGTTCAATGTGTACTTCACTCTAATGATTGCAGTATCTCGACGAGAACAAGTCGTTGATCTTAAAGATTGTTGAGAGCCAGAATTCTGGGAGATTGAGTGAATGTGCTGAGTGAGTGCTGATTTTCAGTCTCTAATGTCTATCAAATTTGGGGTTTTGCCTACATTTTTGTTCCCTTGGCTTGCATTGCAACATCTGATGTTTTACAAAGTTACTAGCTAGCTCTGATTCTTGCAGGAACCAATCAAGGCTGCAACAAAACCTCATGTACTTGGCTGCAATTGCGGATGCTCAACCACAACCGCCCGCGGTGTACGCTCAGGTACAAATGCTATTTCTCGATTCCTCTAACAGCTGTAATAGATATCCTGATTGTCTTTGTCGACTGCTTGTAGTTTCCTTCCAGTGGTATTATGCAGCCAGAAGCCGGACACTATATGCCGCACCAACAAGCTCAACCGATGACGCCGCAATCGCTTATGGCCTCACAGGCCTCCATGTTGTATGCTCAGCAACCATTTTTGGCCCTGCAACAACAATCCATTCACGGTCAGGTAGGCATGAGCTCTGGCGGAAACACGGGCCTTAACATACTGCAAAGTGAGGCTAGCTCCGCAGGTCGCAGTGGAGGATTCGTGGCCAGAGGGTTTCCGGATTTTGTGCGTGTCTCTTCTGTAGAAGGCATGCACGGTGGTGGCAAGGCATTGAAAGATGGGTGCAAGCAGGATATCGGGAGTGCCGTCGGGTCACCTGAAGGTCGTGGAGGGAGCTCTGGAGGTCAGTGTGATGATGAGAATTGAGAGTTCGTTAGTGGAGATAGAAAGAAAGGCGAAAATCACATTATTTTGCTTATGGAACTTATTCCTGATGCAAGAAGAACAACTTAAGACGTGTCCTTGGAGCTTTTAGCTGTGTTTTTCTAGTACGAGACAGTGCAACTTACGGCAATATGACGTGTAAATTTGTGGGATTTTCATGCTTGCATATTAGGGTTAATTGCTTTTTAAGTGGTGAAATTTAGTTATCATCCTTGTTTTTAAAAGTATTTCTAGATTATATATTTTAAGATTTAATATTGATATTAAAAAATATTTATTGAACAAAAATATTTATTGGGTAAAAATTTTACCCAAAATCTGAAAATGGGCTTAGCCCAACAATCTTAGGCAGCATTGGAAAGTGGAACAGTGTCCAACTGTACTTACTCCGCCCATGGTTGAAAACATGTAATTTTCCAAGTTTGGTTCTCAACTTGGAAAACCTTGACCGACACAACTGGCAACTGAAGCAAGACATCATCCATGATAATGTCTTTAACCTTAACTTGGATCTTAGATTTGCTCAAAACACAGGAGCTCCAGGCAAAGAAGAAAAGCCAACTGCTGAAGCCTGAAGATACTGATGAGATATAAAGAGGTATTAAATGTCAGCTTTAAAGACACTTCAAAGCTTCTGGGTTTTCTAGTTACTGGTTGAATTCTCTATCTGTTTTTTTATAATTATTTCCACTTGGAACACATATATTTAACACTTTTAGTTATGAATACTAAATACCCAGATTTTGGGTTTAGGAAAAAGAGGCTAAGAAATAAGCATTTAGGAAGTATCTTGAATCCAGTGGAGTTGTTGATGCTCTCACCAAAGGTGTTTTTTTAAAAAAAATTCTCTTATGTTTCTTGATGTGGGTGTTTGATTTCTTTTAATTTCGATTTTTTTTAATTTGTAGTTTTGGTTGCATTGTATGAACAAAATGAGAAACCATATTCAGCCCTTGAGTGAGTTTCAGAATTCAATCTTTCAATTGAGTTCATTCAGATCTGTGTTTCAAATTCAATTGACTAATTTCACCCAATTCAGTTTCAGAAGAGACCAGAAATGTCTGAAACATATCTTACATGCTGTTTTAATTTTTAGCAGAAAAAAGAGTATCATCTGGGATTTCATAATGTTGTTTAATTCATTGTTCCTATATCTATGAGGATCATAATGTGCTGGATTCGGATTCAGGGAAAATGAAGAATCCAAGTAACTTAGATCTAAAGAGATTAGTAACAATGACCATTGATTTTTTTGTCTGCAAATGATTGACCTTGTCGAGACACAAGTGTTATGGTCCGTGCCGGAGGAGAAGTGTTTTTTGTCCTCGAGCACCTTGTGGTTCACATCCATTTATGTTTTTTTGTCAGGGGATGTTGAGAGATAATTAATTGCTTTTTTCATTATAGGTTTGTCCAAAAAAAATTAGGGGGTCCAACGGCATCTGAATACGAAACGCTACAAGCTGAGATGTCAGATATGCGAACAAAGTATAATGAGCTATTGTGCAAGCATGAGGATGCTTGCAAAGAGGTATGGTTTGATATATTTGTTTAAGGTAGCATTTTTCACTATGTACGTATATAATTGGGTGCTTCAATTTATTTCCCTGAAGCAAGTTAACCTGATGGACTTACACCAGTGCATAAATTGTTGGCGTAGCTTTGTTGACTAATATTAAGTTGCCACATGTTCAAGTCAATGCCGCATCGGCATTTAGGGAAAAACATATGACAGAATATGTGGTAACTTAGCATTGGTCAACCTACGATGTCAGCATTTTATGTAACAATGCTAGTCTGTTGGAGGCCGAATACAAGTTCAAGTGTCATACCAAATTGTTAAACTGGTTTACAAGTGTCAATTATTAACGGTATATAAAAGCTTCTTTATTGTTACTACTATAATTTTCACATACTGTCTTTTAGATGAAAATTCCCACTTTGTCTTCACTATTGAGTCACGGCACAATGTATTCCTTATGTTGTCATTCAATTATGGTTCAAGCATGTTGAATTTTACGTCTCAAAAGGTTGATTGCATAAACTAATCTGATTGATCACCGTTTTTATCCCGAAGAAGTTTTTGCATTCATCTCGACCCTTCAAATTTCCATGTTGCTCCAGCAGTTCCTACTGATATTTTTTGACATTTTTAGCACGACATTGTAACCGGTACAGCTTATAGTTTAAGCATTACCAGTTTGTCCTAATGAACAAGCTTTTCACACAGTTCTTTTAACAGTTTTATTTGCACACAGGAATTTTCTCCGAATCAAACTTTTATTGCGAATTACCTGAGTTGTTTCTTCGGTGCAGTTAGAGGAGTTTAAGAGTCTGCATTCGTCAGTTTCACCATCAACAAAGGAGACTATTGATGGGGAGCCATTGAAAGATGAGGTCTAAGCATATTGATAAGAATTCATATTATGCGACAATGATGTGATATGAACCAATTCTTCAAGGTCTATAACCACTCTATATGGTAGTAATCTACAACTTCTAATGAATCATTGACCATGTATCCCTTTATTATTATTACTTTTTGTTAATGTCTGTAAAACATTCGTTGATTTATGCTTTGTTATTCGAATTCGGGTGTAAGTTTAAGATATTTGTATGCGTCTAACATGGACATGAACCAATATTGATACAATCTGTGTTATTCGACAGCGAGAAATTCCAAAACCGAACGTCAATTGCAGGAAGAAAAAAAAAGCAGGTCATAGAAAGGACCTCGATCATATTACAGATTAGATATTTGTTTCTTGGTGCCTACTTAAATCTCAACTTAATTTTACAAATATAGAATTGATGTACAATATCTGGGTCCTTGTGTTATATGATGCGACTGTACCGGTCGGCCCGTATCTCTTTGTTGACGCTTATACCAAATATTGAAGACAGTAAGGTGTACGCTAATTAATTATTTACGTGAGTGGTGACGTAATATTTTTATGTGTTCAATTGGTTATTAGTACATGTCACGTCTTTTATGTGTTTAATTGGTGAGTATTTTGTGTTCTATTGATTTAGTGTTGAGAGTTGCTGCATATGATATAGCAGTCCCATGGAAGCTCCTGTGCGTGCGTGTGTATAGGATGGTTAAAGATGATTCTAGAGGCTGTTAGTTACAAGAATTGTATTACTAATTGTGTAACAGAATTCTGTTAAGGAGGTTTTAAGGGTTTGTAAAGCTGCTATATAAGCTGCTGAAAACGTGAAGCATGATATGATCTTTTGAATGAATAAAAATCAGAGGTGCAAATTCTAAGAGATTTCTTGATAATTCAACATGGTATCAGTCGCTTTTGGTCAGGAGCGTTCTGCTAAGCTGCGATGTGCTATTTGCTGATTCGTCTTCCTCAAGTTCGCATGTTCACTAACAAACGAGTGAATGTCGTGCTGGACGAGACGAACTTCCTGTTATGGAAGCAACAGATCCTGCTCACCGTGCGCAGTCACGTCGAACGGTTTGTTGAATGGCACTCTACCAGCTCCATCAGAAACGGTTGTCAATGAGCATGGCGACACAGGGTGAATGAAGCTCATGAAGACTTTGTGGCACAAGACAGTGCGCTGCGTCCTGGCTTCTCTCCACGATCAGTGCTCCATTGCTGCCACAATTTGTGGGTGCTGAGCGGTGCTGCAGTCTGGAACACGGTCCTGCAATTCTTCGCCAATCGGTCCACGACTACTGTCATGAATCTTCACTACAAACTTCAGTCCATGAAGAAAGGTGATGACTCGATTCGAGTTTATCTCACCGAGTCAAAGAGATCTGCGACGCCCTTGCCTGTGTGGGAGCACAGTATCTCAAGTCGAGCACATTGTGAGCATCCTTAAAGGATTGCCACGAGAGTATCCGTTATGGCCGTAATTACAACCACCGTGAGTCACTCGTTAGATCAGGTTTTCCATGCTAGTCGACGCCGAGACTCAGATTGTGGGTTTGACTCTCACGAGAGCTTTCCAATGAGTGCGCTATGGTTCAAGGAAGGTCTGTGGCTGCTTCGACTGAGTCAACTCGTGGGGACGGTCTGGTGGTCGAGGTCGAGGTCGTGCCCGCCTTCAATGTCAACTCTGTGGCAAGAATGGGCATTCGGTCGATCGATGTTGGTACAGATTGATCGCGACTTCCTGGGGTCAATGCGATGTCTGGTTCGTCACAGTCCAGAAATGAATCGGGTGCTACTAACTGTGTGCTTCTTGATTCATCAGGATGTGCTCGTGTAGTGGTAAGATGGTTCTAATCTTCCTCAAACACACATGGCTTCAGGTGAACAGTGGGTTATTGATTCTGGTGCGACCATCACGTAACTCCAGATGCCTCCAAGGTGATGAACCCTCCGAGTTACTGGACCAGGTAAACTTCTAGTAGGCAATGGTGTTTCTCTAAGGGTAAACTCGGTGGTTCTTTCGTTTTACATGCTTCTCCTCATACATTAATTTTGAGCAATCTTTGCATGTACCAAGAATAACGAAGCATTTGCTTTCTGTGTCCAAGCTTGCTAAGGATAACAAAGTCTTCCTAGAATTTCATGCTGATGAGTGTTTTGTTCGGGATGAGATGATGGTGTGTGATACTTAGAGGGCAGCAGCGTGAAGGACTTTTACGTTTGCTATAGAACTACAGTTACTTCATGTAATAAAGTGAAGTTCATAATGTTGTCACTTCTAATGTGTTGAACTTTGGCATAGGAGATTAGGACATCCGGCCTTTCAAACACTAAAAGATGTGTGTACTTCGATCAATGTCAATATTTCAAATGCTCTTAATTCCACTGTGTGTCTGTTGCATGGGAAAGAGCCACAAGATGCCCTTTGATCTTCTACTACAGTTTATAGCAATCCTTTTCAACTAGTTTATACCGATCTTTGGGGTGTGCACATGTTCCCTTGTGGCTATCGGTACTACGTTTCATTTGTAGACGCATGCACACGCCATACTTGGGTTTACATGCTCAAAAAAAGTCAGGCTTGAGCATTTCGGTTATTTCAATCATGGTTGGAACTCAGTTTTCTTTGACCATTAAATCAGTTCAAAGTGATTGGG